ATTGGCATCCATCCAGTGAAGTATAGCAGTCAAAAAGAAACAGGCAAAATTTCTATCCCTATCTCTGGAATAAAATTTTAACTTAAAAAAAAAGGTGGGAAAAAGTGTGACAAATATACTACAATTTCATCTAAGGGGAGAGAGAAACAAACAGATACATAAATAAATACAAAGAGCCTGCACATTAAAAAAAGAAAAAAAGGAAGAAAGGAACATAAAATTGAAGAAGTTTTTAAAAAAGTTTTCCAGGCTGTAGTTGCAGCACACTGGGAGGCCAAGGGGGGTGTATCAACTGAGGTCAGGAGTTTGAGAACAGCCTGGCCAACGTGGCAAAACTCCATTTCTACTAAAAATATAAAAATTTGCCAGGTGTGGTGGTGGGTACCTGTAATTCCAGCTACTGGGAAGGCTGAGGCAGGAGAATCACTTGAACCCAGGAAGCAAAGGTTGCACTGAGTCAAGTTGGTGCCACTGCACTCCAGCCTGGGCAATAGAGTGAGACTCTGTCTCCAAAAAAAAAAAGTTTTTTTCCTAGGCCTGGCACAGTAGCTCATCCCCATAATCTCAGCACTTTGGAAGGCAAGCAGATCAATTGAGCCAGGAGTTCAAGATCAGCCTGGGCAACATTGTAAGAACTCCGTGTCTACAAAAACTAAAAAAAAATTAGCCAGGTGTGGTAGCACACACCTGTAGTCCCATAGTCCCAGCTACTCGGAGGCTGAGGTGGGAGGATTGCTTCAGCCTCGGAGACTGAGGCTGCAGTGAGCTGTGATCATTCCACTGCACTCCAGCCTGGGTGACAGGGCTACACTTTGTCTTGGGGGGGAAAAAAGTGTTATTAGGAGGGAGATAAGACAGTAAGAGAGACAAACAGAAATTAGACTTATACAAATACAGTTAGCTTTATAGATTTGGCTTTGGAAGCAGATTTAATATCATTATAAAATAAAAGGTAAATTTTTTAAAACTAAAAATTAAAAGATAAATGAAACAAATCAGCTTAACAATATATATGCAGTTGGTGGTTAAAATCACATAAATTGAATTACAAATGTATAGGAAACACAAGGAACAGAGAAACATAAAACCAGACCACAAGGATGCAATCAGCAATATCCAGAATATGGCAAATGGTACAGGACAGAGGATCAGTTTCCTAAATAAATTACAAGGAAAATTATGAGATGGAGAGAGCCTATGGATTTAAAAAGTTTTATAAGTGACATATGAACCAATTGGAATACATGGATTTTATATAGCCCTTGCTTTGAACAATTTTTTTAAAAAAAGGAAACAATCAGGAAAACCCAAAAACTGAGCAGATAGTTGATGATAGGAAGATATTTGTCAATTTTTCTAGATGTGATAATGGTATTGTGGTTTTTGTTTACTTTTTACCTTTTAGAGGGACACACTTTAGTATGTTAACTGGGAATTTTTTTTTTAATTAATTTCTGGGGCCACAGATATAACTGATCTGGTATAGGGTCCAGACATCATTTCATTAAAACTGCCACAGATGATTCTAATGAGCAGCCAGGCTTTGTCAACTACTTAACTAGGGCAAGTTAAATTAACAGGATAAATAAAACTCACCTAGTTATCAATCAAACTGCATGCCTCCAAAAGTACTCCTCTTGAAGACTGGAATCTGCATATACTATTAACATTAAAGGATAAAACTGACATATCTGAATTTTACTGTGCTTATTTTTAAGGTACTTGTAACGATTAAATAAATGCTTACTTAGCTCTCTAACTTACATAGCTTCCTAAACTAAGCAAACTTTTCTTGACTTCCTATACATACTGAACAAACCAAGAACAACAATGCAAAACCCTTAAGGACTAGTAACAATTGTGATCTATAAACATAATTATCAAGAGATTAATGAGAGCACATCGTCAATAAAACAAGTGGACTGGAGTGCTACAAATCTGAACTACAGAAGAGGTTACTTAGGGTGTATGAGACAATTTCTTTCCAACTTAGTTTTATTTCTCTTACCTTGCCTTTTCAAAACTTGTACACAAACAGAGCAGGAAGAACTGGCAAGATTTCTATTCCCCTTACTGATTTTCCCTTGGGAAAATCCTGAATAAACCCACCTTAGATAGGAAGATAAGCAGAAAAGGGCTAATTAAATCTATGTATCTATCTAAATATATGTAAATAAAAACTATACATACGCAAATGAAAAATATATATAAAAGCTCAGTAAAAAAAAGTTATCACATTGAGCTTTTGTGTTTAGTTACCTATGCAGAAAGGCTTTGTGGCAGAGTGATATATTCCAAAATGTTTGAGATCAGGGAAAAGATAGCTACTTGCCTCCAGAAGTTTGGGATTATGTTTCAGCTGTTATATGAACACCACTAAATTTGAACAGGTCTAGTTCTTTAGGGTTTAGGTATAAAGTGTCTGAAGAAAATTACTGTAATAGGAGAATACACAGCTCTTTAGAGGAGGCAATTTAAGGAAAAAATGATGACCTCAGCTAAATGGGAACTTGGCTTTGCTGTTATCTGTATGTGAGAAGGAATAAATTTGAGGTCTGAGAGAGAAAGTTGGAGGAGTAGGAAAAAAGTACATAAGGGAACAAAGAGGACAAACTATTAAACAGCAATACTGAGTAAGCAAGTTTCATCAATAGGACAGAATTACCAATTAAGTAAGCAATTCAAAGTTGTGATTAGACAGGATGGATGTTTTCTAAATATTTGCTAACCAGCATATGAGTATTAAAAACTAGGTAAACACTATAATCTAATTGAATCGAGTTTGACCTGTAATTCTAGTTTATTAAACCTTTTCTGGGGCTTTATTTTCCATCCTTTTCATATCTACAGGTATTCTCTAACATATTTTCTAGATTTCTATTCCTTTACATTTGCTTAGAAAGACAAAAAACAAAATGCTAAGATTTTAGTTAAATCTAGATTCTATTTGGAAAAAAACTCATATTTAACCAGGTTAGGTTTCCTATACAAAGCATGAGTTATTTCAAAATAAATTATTTCTTCCTCATAACTTAGCTTTACAACCAAACATACCATTTGAGGAAAGTGCATCTGATATAGTTTGTCTGTTCAGTCTCAACTTTTCTTTCCAATGTCTTAAGATTTTTGCCCTTTGTATTTTTTGATACACTAAAAGTAATTTCTAGCACACAATTCATAACTCAAGCCAATTTGTGGATAAGAAAAAGATTAGTATCTAGTCTTCTTAAGGAGAGAGTGATCTCTAATAACGGTATTATTTTAATACTTCAAGAAGGAAAAATGTATCACAATGTATAGTGAACTCACCAAGAAACAGCACTATACATAATTTTTTCCTTGATACACAAGTCATACACTATTGTATTCTTATAAGTGGCAATAGGACACTCTATTATTTAATATTACAATGTTTATACACAACTTTTTCTTCTCAAAAGTACTTTGACATTCCATTTAGCATTTTATAGTGCTTTTTCTGAAAAGGTCGAAGTGACAAAAGAGAGAACTATTTCAAACACAAATAGTAAACATTTAATTAGATATGGCAGAATAAGCACTGCAAGTCAACAGACCTGTTTCTAATCCCAGCTCTGCCTATAGAGCTATGTAACCTCATATGAGTCACTAAATTCTGTTTCTTAAATTGTAAAGTAGTACTTAATGTTTAAATCTGAATTTCTAAAAATCCACTACAATTAAAGTATTTTCAAATATTACATTATAATAACAGCCCAATTAAATGTATGTCATTTTGCCATATGCTTCTAGTCCTTCACTTGTCTCAATTTGACCTGAAGCCTGGATCACTTAGTCTGCATACTCAAGACGTACTTTGGAGCTAAGAGGGACTAGGGCAAGATTCTTTTAAGATGGGATGACGCTGAGCAGGTTAGGCAGTTAGCAATGAGTGCACACGTATATAGGAGACCTGGTCATTCTCAAATAAGGCGCAATGAAGAAGAAATCTGCTTCAGTGGGAATTGTGGGGTGGGGAAATACGTTGCAACAAGATGTGAGGAAGGCCTTGAGCTGAGATTGTCAAGTAACCACACCTTCCACCCTTCAAACTATTCTCCCAGTGGAATCCAAACCAGTCTCCAGTTCCGGGTTCCCAACCAATCGCATCAAGCCACAACAGAGGGCTCTGCCAACCCGGGCACCGCTTCAGGGATCTAGAGTGAGATTCACACTACCCCAGCACCTGTCGACCTCATACTCTTCCCAAATGGAGAGGGTGGGAAGAAACGCTAGGTCTATGCTTGGTTTCTTCCGATTCAAGCTACCTCCAGATCCACTGGCCCTCGAAAATTAAACCCCTGGACTTAGGGGCGAAGGGGAACCTCCTCCGCCGTGACCCTCCCACGTATCACTCCCTCAGGGTTAATTCTCCGATTCTCCACCGACCCTGGTTTCTCAGGCCTCGGGGACCCCACGCCTGGGAAGCAAACAGACGGATGACAAGACTAAAGGCAGCAGGGGTGGGTGTACTCCAAAAGAGTGGAGGAAAAAACGGGAAAGCAGGGGCAGGGGTAGCAATGTTCCCCCTGGGCGAGGGCGGGAGGCCGTTCGTGCGTCTGTCGATGGGTCTGTCATTCCCTCCCTCACTCACCAGGAGCAGCAGGGAGCATCTGAGGTCGGGTAAGGATAGGAAGAGGGCAGGATTCATGGTAACGCTGGGGTCCGCGGCACGGACAGGCGTTGGCGGCTGGGACTGGGCTGGGCTGGGTTAGGAAAGTGCTGGGCTCCGGGAGCCGACAGCAGCGGAGGATTCTCTAGGCAGCGGCACCCAGTCCTCTCGACCCGAGCTCCAGCAGCGAACACCCGGGACAACTTCCAGAGAGGCCTCTCACACCCTCACTTCCGGGTCCTGCCCACCTCGGAGCACTTCGGGAAATGTAGTCCTATGTTGGCCTCACCCCGAACGTCGTCGGTCATCTAGAACTCCCTTTCCCATTGGGCTCTCGGCCCAGGACCACCGAGTCCTCTACGCGCAGGGTCCTGTGGGATGGAAGGGCGGAGGGCGGGTGTATGCCGTGCTTCGGCGTATGGGAACTACAATTCCCAGAAGACTGTGCGGCGAGAGCCTCGGGCGGCCTGCTGAGGGGGCTCTTCTAGCTTCACCGCCGTGGGGTCTGACCTGGCTCGGGTAGTGTCCCGGCCTCGCGGGAGGGGCAGCCCGGTCCGGGTCGCACCTCCTGGAGCCATCCCCGGGACGTCAGTCCTGGAGGAGGCGAGGGTGAGTAGGAGGGCGCCTAGCTGGGGAGGCTAGGATCGATCGGTCTGCACCGCCTTGACCTCTGCTGCAGACTCATGGCCCTCCTGGCCTGGGCTGTGGCCTGAGCCTCCATCATTGGCCTCCTCGCCCGTTGCCTCTTCTTTCTGCGCTAATTCCTGTATTATAACGTCAAAGTCACCACTCGGGGCCTCAGTTGAATGGGTCAACGACTTATCCCTAATTGTCTCAGAGGGCTTCGGTAAGGGGGAGATGTAGTAAGGGATGGGATAGCAGGTCGTAAACTGGAAAACTCTGCGTGAGTGATTGTTGCTAAGGCGTGGATTGCTCCTCCAGTATAAATACGAAATTCCTTTGCCAAGCAGTCGAGGATCTGCACCTGGCCTCAGGTATTCTGCGGTATCTTCTGCAAACACTCAGTGAGATCCAGGCGCCCACGCGATCTCTGCTTAGTACCCAGGAGGCACACCGTGCTTTTGTGGTTCTCCCTATTTCCGCCTTTGCTCCAGCTTTCCTGCTGCCTGGAATGGCCTTACCCCGTTCTCTCTCTGGAATGCTATCTTAAATGTCACCATCTCTGAGAACTTCCCAAGCAACCAACCTTTTAGTCCTAATCAGAATTACTCTTCCTAAGAGTGTGACTGGAGTACCACTAGTATTGTACGGTTATTATTAGAGCATTTATTACACGGGCTTGTATAATTAGGCAAGGATAATGACGCTTTTGTGTTTCATAGCACCTTAACAGAATGGTTTTGATTTTTGTCTATTAAAAATGATTTATTTTTTTAAAGAGGCAAAAAAGTACATTTTTTATTTAAAAGGCCCTAGAGAATGGCTTTCTCACGGTGACAAAATTAGACAGTGGCAGAGCCAACACTCTTAACAAGGCCGGCTGATTCTTACACTAGTGCTCCTATCTCTTGTCCATGTCCCTGACAGAGCACAAAGATAGCTGAAATGGGAAATTTTAAAAGAACATTGAATAATGTGAACTCATTATTCAAGAAATTAAACTTTGATCCTGCTCATTGTTTGGACTTAGCACTCAGCCTGTGATCTTTTCATCCAACAAACATCTACTGGGTACTGGCTATATACCTGTTACTGTGTTGAGTGCTAAGGATTATGAGGTAAAAAGTATATGTATATATATGCATATATATATATATATACACACACATATATAACAGAGATCACATTTTTAGTGTATTTTTCAAAAGATATAAAGAACTTTTTTTGTGGTTCTCATGTGCCTAAAACTCTGTTCACTTAGAATCAAAAATGGCAGGTCTTAGAATTCAGAACAGTGCCTAGCACATAGTTGTCACTCAGCTTGTTGAATGAACGTGAACGTGGTCCACCCTTATTATTTTTTGCATTTTACAGAAACCCAGAATGCTGATGTAGCCTGAGGACACACTGCTTATTATTATTATTTTGAGACAGAGTTTTGCTCTTGTTGCCCAGGCTGGAGTGCAGTGGTGCAATCTCGGCTCACTGCAACCTCCACCTGGGTTCAAGGGATTCTCCTGCCTCAGCCTCCCGAGTAGCTGGGATTAAGGCATGTGTCACCATGCCCAACTAATTTTGTATTTTTAGTAAAGACAGGGTTTCACCTGGTCAGGCTGGTCTCGAACTCCTAACTTCAGGTGATCTGTCCACCTTGGCCTCCAAAAGTGCTGGGATAACAGGCGTGAGTCACTGTGCCTAGCCACACTGCTTATTATTAATACAGCTGGACCTAGAACCCAAGTGCAGTTACTCCCCTTCCTTGTTTTTACCTCCGCCTCTGTTTTGTAGCTTCTCTCAAGTGACCTTAATAAAATTCTGCATGTGACAGTGGTTCTTCTGACATGACTGTTACATTCAGACATGACTGAAGTGTCCCACAACACCCTCTTCCTCCATATTTTCTGCCAGCACCTTAACTCAAATTGTCAGCAAAATAAAGACATAAAGAGCTGTCCTTTGCCATAATTAAGAAAGTATTTATATGTTCTCTCTAGGGCAGAATATGAACGAATAATCCTTGTTGATGACAAGACAAATACTAGCTCATCCGTTATAAATTTATCTTACAAAACTCCCAGATCCCCAGGAGTAACAAATTGGTATGACCTGCTTTTTGATGAAGTCAGAAAAGGACTTGCCTGTCCTGGTGGTAGCAATTAACTGGAACTGGTTAACAGCTGCTCCCTTTAGATAAGGGCATATGTTTGAGTTTACTGTGATTCCCAAATTTACGGATTCCCTACATTTCTAACAGTTGTTACCTCTCTGATGCTTGTATGCATTCAGCCTCGGAACTTTGATAAAGCAGCTTAGGTTTAGGAAGGATGTTTAAGATCATTGATGCAACTATTCCTCTTTTCTTCTCATCAGATGTTTGAATTCTTGAATTTCTGACATAGTCCAACCTCTGCTTGCTTAAACACTCTTATGATAGGGATCTCACTATCTTCCTATGCAGCTGATACTTGTTTTTTTTTGTAACAGGGTCTCCTTCTGTCCTCAGACTGGAGTGCAGTGGTACCATCTTGGCTCACTGCAACCTCTGTCCACCTCCCAGGTTCAAGCAATTCTCCTGCCTCAGCCTCTTGAGTAGCTAGGATTACAGGTGAAGACTACAATAGCCCAGCCAATTTTTGTAATTTTAGTAGAGACAGGGTTTTACCGTATTGGTCAGGCTGGTCTCAACCAATATGGTGAAAGGTTCTTATAAGCTCCCTGAGGCTACCAGTCAGAAGAAAATTGTCTTTAATGAAATATGGTTCATCTTAGTGATAGGGTGTTCCAAGTAAGATCTTATGGTTAAGACCTCAATCTAGGTGTATTTTCCTGGTGTACCAAGGAGAGAACAAATAAAAATTTCACTTTTTGTGGGAATGAGGGAAAGAACTAGGTACCTTTTAATTTAGTACTTAGCCAGGTGTGAGGGCACATGTCTGCAGTCCCAGCTCTTCAGGTGGCTGAGGTAAGGAGGATCACTTAACTCAAGAGTTTCAGCCTGTAGTGCACTATGCCATTTGGGTGTCCACTTTAAGTTTGACCTCAATATGGTGATCTCCCAGGAGTGGGAGACTACCAGGTTGCCTAAGGAGGAGTGAACTGGGCCCAATCAGAACTTCTGTGCTGATTGTAGTGCGATTGCACCTGTGAATAGCCACAGCCCTCCAGCCTGGGCAAGATAGCAAGAAAACGTCTTTAAAAAATTTTTTTTTTTTTTTTCTGAGACAGAGTTTTGCTGTTGTTTACCCAGGCTGGAGTGCAATGGCGCGATCTCGGCTCACTGCAACCTCCGCCTCCTGGGTTCAGGCAATTCTCCTGCCTCAGCCTCCTGAGTAGCTGGGATTATAGGCACGCGCCACTATGCCCAGCTAATTTTTTGTATTTTTAGAAGAGACGGGATTTCACCATGTTGACCAGGATGGTCTCGATCTCTTGACCTCGTGATCCACCCGCCTCGGCCTCCCAAAGTGCTGGGATTACAGGCATGAGCCACCGCGCCCAGCCAAAAAAATTTTTTTAACTGATTTTTTTTTTTCAAATGGAGTCTTGCTCTGTTGCCCAAGCTAGAGTGCAGTGGCATGATCTTGGCTCACTGCGACCTCCACCTCCCAAGTTCAAGCAAGTCTCCTGCCTCAGCCTCCCGAGTAAGTGGGATTACAAGCATGTGCCATCACACCTGGCTAAGTACTAAATTAAAAGGCACCTAGTTCTTTCCCTCATTCCCACAAAAAGTGAAATTGGTAGGGACAAGGTTTTGCCATATTGGCCAGGCTGGTCTGAAACTCCTGACCTCAGACGATCCACCTGCCTTGGCCTTCTCCAAAGTGCTGGGATTGCAGGTGTGAGCCACCACACCTGGCCTTAACTAATTTTTAAATTTTTTTTTAAGACAGGGTCTCACCCTGTTGCCCTCTCTGGAGTGCAGTGGTATGATCTCAGCTCACTTCAAACTCTGTTTCTCAGGTTCAAGCCATCCTCCCACCTCAGCCTCCCAAGTAGCTAGGATTACAGTACATGCCATGGTGCTCGGCCAGTTTTAAAAAACCTTTTGTAGGCAGGGCATGGTGGCTCACTCCTGTAACCCCAGCACTTTGGGAGGCCAAGGCGAGCAGATCACTTGAGGTCAGGAGTTCAAGACCAGCCTGGCCAACATGGCAAAACCCTGTCTCTACTAAAAATACAAAAAATAGCTGGGTGTGGTGGCACATGCCTATAGTCCCAGCTACTGAGGAGGCTGAGGCAAGAGAATTGCTTGAGCCCTGGAGGCAGAGGCTGCAGTGAGCTGAGATCGAGTACCACTGCGCTTTAGCCTGGGTAACAGAGCAAGACCTTGTCTCAAAAATAGGGGAAGGGAGGAGATGGGATGGGATTTCTAGAAATGAGTACTGACTATATTGCCCAGGCTGGTCTGGAACTCCTGGGTCCAAGAAATTTTCCTGTCTCTCCTGTCTTAGCCTCCCGAAGTGCTGGGATTACAGACATGAATCACCATGCTCAGCCCTAATTAATTTTTTTAAGTTAATTTAGTGCTTAAATCCAGCTAATTCTGATTTCACAATTAAGTTTATATTATACTCTTTTTGTGGCTTGGGGACACTTTTATTCCAAATATCAATTATAATGTTTAATATTATGTGGCATCATATTACTTGTATTAACTTAGATTATGTGGCATCATATTGCTTGTGTCCCTGTAACCCTGAGCCCTGTGCCTAATGTTAAATATTGTCTTTGTTTTTTCCTCAGATAGCCCTAAGAAGGCTCTGAGAAGGACCTAACCCTCTCATTTTACAGATGTGCAACTTGTACAAAGGTCACCTAGTTTGCCACCTAATACCAATTCTAGGACTAGGACTGTAGCTTTTTTCTTCCCCCCACCCCCTTTTTTTTGAGACAGGTCAAGATAGACAGTCTCACTATCTTACTCAGCCTGGTCTCAAACTTCTGGCTTCAGCAACCCTTCTGTGTTGGCTTCCTGAAATGCTAGTATTAAAGACATGAGCCACTGCCTCCAGCCAGGACTATAGGTTTTTCTAATCCTAGTCAAATATTTCTAGTAAATCATATTTATAAAATACCCACTTGGAACTGATGAGACAGGTTTCAGAAATGTTTGCTGCATACGCTTATTGTCTGAATCATTGTTTCAGGTTGCTCCAGTTGCTAAGAAGACTATGAACAAGTCAGAGAACCTGCTCTTTGCTGGTTCTTCATTAGCATCACAGATCCATGCTGCTGCCATTAATGGAGATAAGGGTGCTCTTCAGAGGCTCATTGTAGGTAAGTACTCCCTTAAGTACAGAAACTTTAAAAGCAACTGTTTGTCCTGAGGAAGTTTGTTAATGTTAGTTTTCATTTGCCATGTACTCATGCATTTTAATGGAAATGTATTATTATTTATTTTTTTTTCCAACGCATGGACAAGAAAGGAATTAAGTCCTAAAACTTAAAAATATGGGTTAGGATTAGGTGAAAAGTATTTGAGAAATTTCTATGTATTTAGCACTAAATTTGGATAGATATTCTAAGGTATAAAGGAAACGAATTAATCTTTATGTTAACAAAGATCTAGAACGACACCACGGATAATAATTTTTTAACATGTAATATATACCCCAAATACTAAAGTTTACAAATAATTTAAATTTTAATGATTTAAAATGGATTCAATGTTTCCCCTGTCATTTGCATGTGTAAATGATATATAGAGATGTCCAATGTAGGAGTTCCAGAGGAGACAATAAAGTATATGGGAAAAACAGAATGGCTAAGAATTTTCTAGAATTTTAGCTTCCTGCTAAAACAGAGCGAAGATCCGTCTATTGCAAATCCAGATAGTCACAAGTCCTAAATCCCAAAGAGAATAAAATGAAAATATTTTCTTTGTAGTCTTTATTCACACCAGTGTCTGGGGATTATGACTGACACCTTGGGCTACAAAATGAAGTCCAAATTACTTGAACTTTCATAGCTGTTTCTTCCGTCTTTGTTTTTACCCTCCTTTTGCAGTTTCTCCAGGAACTTCTGCTGGTGTACGGTAACCTCTGGCTAGGCTAAAGATTACTTCTTTTTCCCAGTAAGCTATGAATTTTGTTTCCCTTTCTCCATATGTTGTGTTCCCCCACTTTTTTTCTATCTGCTACTCTGTTACCTTCTTATGCCCTAAACAAACTCCTACTCATTGTTAAAGACAAAAGTATTTTATCACATACTCTGAAGATTTCTCTCCCTCTGCTTATCCTTGATTTACCTCAGCTGTCTATTTGCTTGTCTCTCCCTCTGCTTATCCTTGATTGACCTCAGGTAACTTTCCAGTTCACTAGAACGTCACATTTTCCCCCACCTCCAAATCACTCAAACATTCTACCATTCAACAAAAACTCTTTACTTTCAGCTCACTTACCAATGACAAACAATAGTTTTCATGCTCACTGAGACCTCCAGTCCACTATCTTCTCTAGTTTTGACCATCAATTTTTCTTCTGTCTTTTCCTTCTTCACTACTTAGCCCTGATTCTTTGTCGGTTATTAAAATTCTTCTTTTGGAAAAATTCCACACCCCCTCCTTTTTTTTTTTTTTTTTTTTACCTTCTGTTGCACTTGACTGTTGCAATCCTGACTCTGGATGTACCAAACCCTTGCTAAGCAGTTGAATTCAACTAAAAGATAGCACCCCAAATTCATGATTACCCACTTCAAAAAGGCACTCATCATAAAATGTAGTAACATTTTATACATAATGAGTGTTTCATACCTCTCACTCTACTGAATATTCTGACTGCCAGTTCCCCCTCCTTTCATTCTCTTTAATTCCTCTTCCTAGAGAAAATGAATACAATAAGTAGGAACTCCCTCATCTTTAGCATGACATCTACAGATCTACCTCTGTCTGTACCTGTCTTCTCTCTTTGTCTATCTGCTAAAACAGAGCAAAGATCCGTCTTTCTGTTAAAGGCCAGTTCTTCCACACATGCTCTGTATTTTATCTCCTCCTGTCTTCTTAGGGACATTGCTTCTTTTGTTTTTCTCTTTGATTACTATATCTTCAACCTTTCTTCTATGCTAAATTACTTCCATCAGCACTTAAATGTGCTTGTTTCCATTATTTAAAAATCCCATCTCTGTTTCTTCATCTCCCTCTAAGTATTGCCATTCTCAACTTTCCCTCACGACTGAATAGTGCACAGGCTAAACTGTGCTATGGCTGTTTAGATAGAAGTATATTTATGCCTATGACTTGAATAAGATAGAAGTATATTTCATTCTCATAATATTGCAATCCCAACTCTGGATAGATCAAACGTATCTTCCTGGCAACTGCTAGAACCCAGCAGTGTAATAGTACACAGGCATGTGGGCAGTCTGGATTAGATAGATGTCTTCATTTCACAAAACTATTCAGGTATGCTGCCGGGCCTTGGCTCTTCCATTCTCAACATGATGTTTCTGTTTCTGGGTCAAAGGCAGATACTTTCATTATAGTCATAGCCCAGTCAGCAGGAAGGGGAAGAGAGAGCACAGGGAAGGCAATTTGTCATTAAGGAGGTAGACTAGACTTAGACACAAAGCCACACCTAGAATAAAAGGAGCTGAAAAAAAAGTCTTTCCCTAAATGGTATCACACCAAGCTAAAACTCACAGTTTTAGCTTGAACTCTTCTTCAATTCCTAAAAAGAAGAATGAAAGAATGAATGGGGGCAAGTATTGCTGCCTGTCACCAAAACCAAGATTCTTGTGCCAGCTGTACCCATTCTCCCCACTTATTTACCTTAATTCACTCTTTTATTACAACAAAACATACTTTCTTATTTTGAAGTATACATATAGAGAACTACATACAACTTAAATGTACAATTTAACAAATAAACATAAAGCAAACATCCACTTAAACCACCTAGGTTAAGGAACAGCACATGGTCAGTAACCCTAGAAGCCCCTAATGCATCCTTCTCTCCCCACTAGAGTAATTGGCTATCTTGACTTTTATAGTAATCATTACATTGTAGTTTTACCACCTACATATACATCCTTAAACACTTTAGTTAATTTTGCCATTTTTAACTTTTTGCTAAATTTTCTATGTTCACTTGAACTAAAAAATGTGTATATATTATACTTTTGTCATTTTCCTGCTCTTTTTCATTGTTTCCCATTATACTTGGAATAAAATTTAGCAGGTTACTTATATCTCTTTACATGTCCATCCTCGTATTTTACCACTCTCTTACAAGAAAAACTTGCTTTCTTTCAATGTCTCACACCTGCCTAGCCCTTTCTCATCTCAGGGCTTTCACCTGAAAGGCTGTTTTCCCCATTCTCTGTCTGACTAACTCTTAGTCATCCTTTAGGTTTCAGTTTTAAGGTCACTTCGTCAAAGAGGCCTGCTAACCATCCAGCCTCAATTAAGTTTTTTCATTGTATTGTTCCCTCTTGGCCCTCTGTAGTGTTTCTTCATAGAACTTGTTTCAGATTATCACTGTATATTTATGTGTATGGTTATTTCAACATCTCTCTCCTCCGTAAGTTAATGGCCTCTATGAAAGCAGACTGGGTCTGTTTAATTTATCACTAAATCCACAAAATTCAGCACAATACTTGGCACATAGTAGGCACATAAGAAATATATTTGTTGAAGGAATGAATAAATATTATAATCATTCTTTAAGTATCTTTTCTCCCAAGTAGTCTGTAACCATCGTGAGGGTCAGAACTAAAAATGAATTGAGTTGGATTAAATTGAATAGAGGAATAAGTTAAGACTAAATTCCATGAGGAAAAAAATTTAAGTCAGAATATATCAAGAAAAAGTACCATGTAAAATGAATTATTTATTGCTTTAATTAAAAATATAACATTTAAAGAAAAAGTGCAATATTGTCATAAATTAAAAACACTTATATTTATATGGCTCAGTCATACAGATTAATTAATGTGTTATTGTTAAAACTCAAAACCTTGAAAAGCCCCAAAGAGAATATCCTTTAAAAGCAATCATGATATGAAACCAGTATATAGCTAATAAACTTATTTATAAATTGTTTTTCTGTTTTCTGTTGTCTTGTCTGAGGAACTTCTTATTAATTACTGACTGAGGGTACCTCTCCTCATCTTTACAGAATCGTGCCATTATGTTTTCTGTGCACAGACAGTAATACCTTTGCTCTTGAGTATTTTCCAGCATTTGTATATTTGTACGAAAATAATAACTGTTTCATCTTAAATTTCAATGTATGTTTTTTCTATGCATATGAATGCCAGGTCATAATTTCACTGTATTTTAAACATCTGTTTATGTAGCACATGTTTGATGATTTCTAAATATATGCTATTTCTCTTTCCTAAACTAGTGACATAGTACTACAGATGAAATTTTTTTTCTTGAATCTTTGTTCACCAACTGCTCAGTGAATTCATTCACTTTAGCATTTTCTGTTTTCCCCTCTCTGTTTCCATGGTGAAGTATGTCAGTGATGTGTTTGACTCCATGGAAACAGATGAGTGTCTCTTTCTACATACACAACTAATTAAATCGAACACTTTCTATATTGCCCATTGTCCTGGAGGAGGACTGAAGAGGCTTTTCTGAATGAAACATCATTTCAGTAGCAATTCTTAGTGTTTAACCTAATACAGTGGATTAATGTTTTACCATAACTCACCACTTCCTAGATTCAGATGTATGAGGGCTTACTTCTGAGCATTAAAAGCATAAACATACATAGTAAAAGTTTTATATGCTATGGTTCTCATTTTTAGATACTTAGCTTTTTATCTTAATACCAAACTCATATAATTTGTATGAATACTAGAAATGTAATTGATAATAGAATTTAGTAGATTCATTTTATTTTATTTTATTTTATTTTTTTATTTTTTTTTATTGCATTTTAGGTTTTGGGGTACATGTGCAGAGCATGCAATACAGTTGCATAGATACACACATGGCAGTGTGTTTTGTTTGCTTTCTCCTCTTCACCCACATTTGGCATTTCTCCCCAGGCAATCCCTCCCCACCGCCCCCTCCCACTGGCCCTCCCCTTTTCCCCCTTATAGACCCCAGTGTTTGGTACTCCCCTCTCTCTGTCCATGTGTTCTCATTTTTCATCACCCGCCTATGAGTGAGAATATGCGGTGTTTCATTTTCTTTTCTTGTGTCAGTTTGCTGAGAATGATGTTCTCCAGATTCATCCATGTCCCTACAAACGACACGAACTCATCATTTCTGATTGCTGCATAATATTCCATGGTGTATATGTGCCACATTTTCCCAATCCAGTCTA